TTCCTGGCCCATTGTGCTCCAGAGTGTTTTTGCAAGTGGGCAGCCTCCGAGGGCCGATCGATCCCACGACACGAGGAAAGGACTAATCTGCGAGACTCGGCTAGACGAGTTGAACACAAGAGTCGGGAGCGACACAAAACGCGTGCAATTGCAAAGGACGAATCACGAAATGGTCTGCGGATTATTGGAACTAGCTTAGATCTTCCCGTGAGCGCGCATTTGTCCTTTCCGCGTTCTACTACTGCACTATATGTAAAAGTGTGTGACGTAGGTCGGTACAGTCAGTTCAGAGAAATGTGGTAATGACGTCCAAGCGCAAAAGGAAATTAGGCTCAAGAGAATAGAAAAGATTTGCTGCTACAGTAAAATCGCACTGAAACAATTTCCGTCAACTTCATGGCAGACGCGACCATCCCACATGAATGTGGGTACGAGCGACAAACGCAACCACATTCGATTATTCTCGAGTCTCGTTTCTCTTGAGACTCCCCACTGCGACCTGTCTTCTTCGCGCTGTTCTAGTTATTGAGCTAGGCGCTTCGCAGGGTTGCCAATCGATCTCGAAACGTCCGAATACGTCGGGGCAGACGGACTTCGACTTCCCTTTAAATAAGATACTCGAATAAAACAATTTCACCCGGACTTCGCAATGCGACCGAGTGCGGCGGAAGAAAGTGACCGAGAAGATGCTTAACTTTCTTGAGGCACTGTACGCACCTCACGTGGTCACGGCGATCAGCTTGAATAACGAATGTGAGCTTTCACAGCGCGATATCGCGCGACGAGGTGAACGAACTGCAGATAACTTTGGCATTGCGTAACAGTTTCAACGTACAGGCAGTCGTGAAATACGATAATTATTCACCACTGTTTGCCGAAACGTTTAAAACAGATATTTCGAAGCTACGTGCATGAAGAAAACAGACGTGCAAACGTCAAGATCAGCATTTGGTAAATTGCAACTATCGCTTATTTTTTTATTTGATTAGGAAAATCGAGTTTTGCGGTTTCTTTATAAATTTGAGTGTCCACTCGAGCGGAGGTGACGGTCGCGCTGAGGAAAAAGGAAGAAAAGTGTGGAGAACCGATAATGCGAAGCTTTCCTGCTTTCGAGGAAGAGAGGCGAAGGACACTCCAATTTGTGGACGAAGAGACGAGATACGTATAACGATGGAATTATATCGAATCGATCGATGGAGAAATGTATTTAATTAATGAGAATAATGGGGACGACATGTCGGTTCCACCTGCAAATGAGTCGGTACAATTGCTCTGGTAGAACAGGGATCTGATTGCGTAAGTCGCTACGAATTTAATGGCTCGATTGCCTCGACAATTCGTTATCCATACATATATTATTCGCGTAGACCTGCCCCCTTCCGGGATCGAATGACTTTTTCAAGATAGCCTGGGTGGTGGTCACTCGACTGACTCGCTTGAGCATCTCGCTGTTATCGTTTAACATAATTTTTGATCAGGGCCAACCTCCTCACCTGGTCACCGAATTCTCCTTCACACATTTCTGGAGTTGTTATCGACTGGTAGAGCCAGACTTGTCACGCACGACTGCCGCTTCCTTTTGACAGCGAGTCTCATAGAAAATGAAGAAACTTCGGCCACCGCGGTTTACCGCGGATTTACATATGTGCTTGACATTTACTGTTAAACCAAACAATCTTTATTGATCACTCCTCTCGCCGATCGCTATCTATTACCACCGTCACTATCGTCACCGATTACTTATATTAGCAGATAATGATCACGAGCAGCATCAGTGACAGCATCGACACTTCCGGCACTTGTCATTGGATATTCCATTTACAAAAGGAAAGTCTTCTTCCCGTGCTCCTACGAGTACTTCCTCTGTGTATCTATGTTGACTCTCCTCGTAGGAAAGTCGAGCCGCTGTCGGTCACAAGGACGTATTTCGTCGCGATCTTCACTACTGTCAACCCAAGCGTCTACATCGTCGCGCGCGCGCTTCGTCCTGGTGCCAAAGCGATAGTGGATGAGGCTCGGAGCTTTCGGGGAGCTTTTTGTCGTAACAGAGAGAGAGAGAGAGAGCGCGAATGAAAGAAGGGATAGAGAAAGATAAAATAAGAGTGCGAGAAGAAGGGCGCCCAGGCAGTAACGATGCGATGCGAGACGCGCCGTGGTTGGTGGCTCGACTGAAAGGGAGAGTGTGCGAGTGACTCCGTTTTGGAGCTGCCAGAGGGGAGGAGCGGTGTCGCATCCCTCTGCATAAATAACAGTGGAAAGATGAAGAGAGGCGTGTGTGAGAGAGAGAGAGAGAGAGAGAGAGAGAGAGAGAGAGAGAGAGAGAGGGGGGGGGGGGGGGGGGGGGGAGAGAGAGAGAGAGGAGAAAAGAGCGAAGACGGAGAGGGGAGAGAGAAAAGGTAAGGCAGGTTCTCGCGTGGCTGTGGGTCGAAAGCACCCCAACGAAAGTCTACCAACACACCGGTAACTTTGCAATCCAGTAGGGGGGTCGAGCCCGAAGAGAGGGTGGTCCGATCCGAGGGAGGAAATTGTATGAAGGGAGCGAAGCTGCTCGATGCTCTCTACCGGGTGCTCCTGTCGAAACGACTATCTTGCTCTCTCTGGCCTTCCACGGCAATTCTCTCGGCAACTTCCGCTACTCCTTTCGTCCGCGATTCCCCTACGTCCCTAAAACATCATTTTGACTACCTGGCTCGTTAATACTTTCCCCCGTGTACCTTCTCCTCGTGTGAGACTCCTCGATTTACACGACCAGCTAGGAGCCTCTACCACCGTACGAACTACCCCGCCCAGGAACACGATGATCCTCCACATCTGTCACGCGATAATGGTAACAAGAAAGGTGCGAAGGAGTCGACATTCCCTGGAGATGCGGCGGAGTCATTCAGGCAGCCGATAAGGTAAAGGAATAAAATGGAAACGAAGAGAGAACGATCTCCCAAAAAGGAAGCTATTGCTGAATTTTTAAACCTTCCGGCCGTCAAGATTTAATGCCACGAATGAAACTAATCGTCCACACTCTTGACGTTCCTTGGATTTAGGGAGAAACTCTATTTTCGAATTGTCAAATTTTTCAAATTTCTCGCACCACTGGATGTCCCACTTGAATCCCCTCAGCCGTACGCACGAAATCCGATTGTTATTTAATATGCGGTTAATCTCTGACTTCCTCTGGCCAGAGGAGAGAGCTCCCCATGCAGCGTCGGGACGCCTTCACTCTGTCAATTGTTTTAATTTTCCGCTCTCCTCCTCGTCTCTGCGTCTTTGAAATTTAAATTTATAACCGGAGCCCTTCGCGTCCCTCGATCTTTCGCTCTGCCGACGAGTCTCAATTCGCTTTCCTTCCTCCTCCACGGGTGACCTCGCTTCCGCCTCCTGACTGACCTCGCTACTACGATAAGGTCCAAACGCCAGAAGTATAAAACTTGAAACCGAAGTAATCGTCAAGTAGCGAGGGACCACTTGCCTGTGTCTCTAGATCCGATTTCTCTTCCACTGGGACTCCGACTTCCTGTGGATGTTGTTGCTCTACGATGCTCGACAACGGTTTTTCGACTGAACCCCGAGTGTATAACAGGTCGCCTATATGGTGGAAACTCTCGCTCCGCATTGGTCGTTCAGGGCGCACACCCATAGCTTGACGCAATCCTTCGCATTTCATCGTAACCGTGGTGCAATGTAATAGCAATCTGAGACTGCGTCACTCAATCGAGATTTACGTCATTAAGTCGCGAGGACTGTCCCCTGCGAATTTTTAGTCAGATCGAAGAGAATCTTCCCATCACCTTGAAAGTTCCCTTATACCAGACGCCGGCGAATTTGTGCAAGTCAGCTGGGAATACTAAGAGCCGCACGCTGGCAGCATTCGGCATTCCCCGTTCGCATGCGAGCGACGATCGTTTGCAAGGCCTTTTACGACGGGACGGTCGTCGCGCGTTTCTTGCTCGCGACTGCCTAATGCAAGTGTGTCAGGGAACAGCAAGGAATATTCGACGAAGTCGAGCCTCAACTTATTCCGCGCGTCGCCTTCGAATTAAAACGCATTAGGGCTCGTTTGCACTTGAAGATGGCCGTACAAAATGCTAATAAAAATAAAGTTAAACCTGGAATGGATTTAAATGATTGGCAGGAATAATAACGTTATGACGATTCTTGCAAATTTCCCAATGACTCCGATCGTTGACGCTACAATTGAACATCCAAACGATCGACTGGCTGGACAGTCAGCGCCCGCGACTTACGATTAGCATTAAATAAGAAATCGGAGACACTTGCTTACCGTGAAACTTTGCCTCGAGAAACACATCGGCTTCTTGAGAATCCACTAAATTTCTGTCACTTGTTTAAATTTACGTAGTAATCCAAATTCCACCTACCTTTATGCAGACCTCCTTGTATTATCCTCGCGAAGACCTAAGTGGGACGCGACACCTATAGTCTTATTGCCTAGACGAGACTCCAATTAGACGTAAATTTGACTAAATTGAAAACTACGTTTGAGCGCGACGATCGCAACGTAAGGGAAAGCGAGTCTCTAAAGAAAGTAACTGACTTTGCATTGCCAATAGGGAGCCAGGACTCGACGTCCTTTTGTACCGTGTATACAGATGAAAATCTCTAATAAAGCAAATGGTTTGGGAACCGTATTTTCGCAAAATCTAAATGAAAAATCATTGCGCGGAGTCTACTTTATTAGCGTGCGTGTCGAGGAGTGGATATAGACTAACGTGTAAAACGATGCCTTTCGTATTTTGAGATAACGCCCGGGCATGCCCAGCTGTTACAGTTCCGTCCACATCGAACCCATCACCAATACCACAAGACATCTCCCATAAATAATCGTAGAAAGAAAGAGACGGGTAATCAGACAGAGCAACACGGGCGACTTCCAGCCCGGCAACCACGTCAAAAGGAAGGTCGTTTCCATTGCAAAGCACGTGTCGCCACTCCGGAAAGATGGCTGGTAGCCGCGTGGCTACATACGAATATTAAGATTATCCTACCTTAGGATGTAGTTGACGCAGACGATGGAGAGAGGCTTTTGTTGTTTCGAGCAATGGATGAGGGTTGCCTGCGTAACGACCCAGGCGAAGCCACCCTTTTTACCCAAGAAGCGATACGCTACCGTCTCGCATTGGCCCTTGCTGAACACTGGAAAATAAAAAAGAGTAAACGATGGATCCAAATACTGCGAAGTTATCAAGCTTATAGTGAAAGACAGTCGTGCATAGGGACATGGCCAAGTTTTTGGATGAAGAAACTCGAGTAAAAATTTTAGATCGAGACAAATCACTGATTGATTATTTTACACGGTCTACATAAGATCCTGCACAGGTGCGTCTCAGACTTTAAATTTGATTCTACATAATATATGAATATCGAAGGAAATAAAAGATCTCTACAGTTTATTTTTGTTACTTTGTAAGTGTTCAATATCAACAGTAATTTGCCAAGGTATATTAATAAGATGAATATCTACTGAAAACGCGTTTAACGGCAGAACTCGGTAGCTCTGTGTTGTCGCCCATCACGACGAGATGGGATCGATAAAAATTAATCGTCTCCCATCGCACAAGAGGCAGCACAGAAATCTGATTTTCTAGCTCGTCTCCTCATTAGAAAGGATCGTAAATTCGTGATGGGCAACGAGACTCGTGATTATATGGTGGCTGACAGATCAGCTTGTAGGCCAGGGGTTGTTCATCTGATGTCCGCGAGGGGTGAGTTTTATACGCTCAGGCGAATCCAACAGCAATTTCGAGATGTCGAAGTTCCGGAAGGGTGAACGGCGCCGCTGTGGCCACGGGCAGAAATATGACAAAAAAAAAAAGAAAAATCTTAAACCCCTAGCAGCTATTGAAGCGTCAACGACTTCCTTTCATATCCTTTTCTTCATTCCCTCCTTCCTTCGCCAAGAACTGCTGTGCGCTGTGCGACGTAGGCGGACACCAGTCGTAAAACTTTCCCGAAAAAGCTTTATTTATTCGCTTATTTTTCATGGAAGCCTAGTGACATCCGTTGCGAACGATATTTCCGAGAACTTTGCAAAAACATAATTTTATACAAAAATAAGACATGCATCCGATTCAATTTCTTAGTCGATTATCCGCATTTTGACATAAATATCGAATTGAAAAATATTTATATTCGGCTGTCTCTTTGATCCGCCAGTCGCGCTTCTAATGATAGCGGTAATGACCGATTCATCAATATCATCCAGTGTGCAAAATAAATTGTAGTCTAGTTGCATACATAAAAGAACAAAGCAACAGAGAAACGTGTAACGAGATTGAATCAAAATACGAAAATTGCTCTTCTTACGAGTCAGCTAGTTGCTGGTGAAAGCGAAGGGAAGTGAGAGTTCGCCTCGTGGGAGATTCAGTAAAGGATGAAGAGAAGAAGAAGGAGGAGGGAAGAAGATAGTGGTGGAGGAATAGAAGCTGTAGTAGTAGTCGTTGCGGTAATATTGGATCAGTCGTAGAAGAAGAGTAGTACTGAAAGCAGCTAGGGGATGGTACCGACGTAAAGATGATAAGGACCACGGCTCTCGAGAGAATCATGAAAAAGGAAGTCGACAAGGATGGCTCCAGGCAAGAATATCACGCGCACCAGAAAACTGCACGAAGGGATAAGAGTCTATCCTAGGGACCAGTGATCAACGCTGTCACTCTCAACCACAGCCAACTTTTTTTTTTTTTTTTTAAAGAAGCTGATTAAATATTAACATCCGCGAAGAAATGTTCTCAAATGGGTGCTCTCTAATAAGAATTCTATCCAAAGCACTGACCAAGATCCTAGCCAAGGAAAGAGAGGTAAAGAAACATCTTGGCCAAGGCAACAAAAATAAAACAAGCTTAAGGTCATTCACTGTTTTACTGGTGAAAGTAAGGTTGTGGTTTTGTTACCGTGTTTTTACTAATCGAAAATGATACAACTAAAACCCGCCAAATTGTCACAAGAAAAGAATTATGTAATGCGACTTACATAAAACTACAACTAAAATTGGCTTCAGCCCGATGGTCGACGGGTGCTTATAAATATTGACGGTGTCACTGAACTGATGCTAGCCAAAAACCAACCTGTTCTTAAATAACACGAATGTGTACATTTATTCTCGCTAATTCACGACCAACTCTTAGAATGACTGACAGTCTTTTTGCTCTATTTCTGTCCACTAGTAAAACATGTTTTTTTTTTTAATGTTAATTTCCTATGACACTCGATGTAAAACAATCCCTCCGACCTTATATTTAACCAATGAATCGACTATGGTCGATTGGATATAAATACATGTTAACATTCTAGTGAAGGAAGTGATACGTGCGATAGTAAACAGGTTAAAGAACTCGCATGTGAGTATGAATGGTTGCAAGATGGCAGGGGCAAAATATTTAGAATCAAATAATTAGAGAGCCGGGCAATTACGGTAACCATTAAGTGCATATCGCAACAGTCATCCAGAAACACGAAGGCAGAGAGTGGATATGGAAGCTAATGAGAACGAAAGATCAAAGGGGAAAGAAAAAAGGAAAAGGCTACAAGAAGTTTTTATCGTAATGTGGTATCCTCTGGATAAAGAGCAATAAAGTTCACGAAGTCCTGCAGAGAAGTGAGGTGAAGGTGAAGATCAGTGAGATCTTAAGCCGTGGACTTGAGCGTAGAAATTGCTTATCCAGAGAATCATCTTTCGGAGAGACAATTACTAAGATAAGATGAAAAGAAGAAAAAGGATGGAAGATCCGTCGTTATGAGCCAGCTCTGCCGTATCTAGTAAATACTGCTTTTCTGAATTGAAGAGCTCAAAACGATGTAGTGTAGCCCAGACTATTTTTAATTTCAGTATGAAAATTCTCAAGCAACCTCAATATTCTTTAGGGTGCAACGGATCGTTTTGAAGGTTCATATCACGTCCGTTATACTTACAAGATTTGAAGGACTTGTCGAGTGCCGGATTGTCAAGAGCGTGATGGAAATCAAAGATCGATTGGCCGACGAGTTCGCTACTGTCCCAACCCAAGTATTCAGCTAATCTATAAAGAAAACCAACCAATTTATACAGTTTATCGGCATGTACGTATATTAACGCTTTGTAAGATTTTGTACAGACGATACTCACTTATCATCAGCGTATGTAAATTTCATATTGAGACTGTGTTTTGATAAGAAAGTATGACGGCCCAGAGGAACCTCGATGTTACTAGGATGTGGTATTGGACAGCCAACAACAACAAGACAAGCGCCTGATTCTCTTTCAACGTCATCTTCGTTCTCTTCATCATCACTTGGCACCTTGTTTGAATTCGAATCACGAGTCATCATGAGATGACCAGTGCAGTGAATGACCTAAAACAAATAATGTAAAATTAGTGGATAAATAAAGAAATAAAATGAATCACACATGAGGAGAGCAATACACGATAATCGCATTGCGGACTTGTAATTCTTGTGTACTGATTTGAAAAAGAGAGACAGGGTGATCATTCGTTCCAATCATCAAACAGCAAAGAAGAACCCGTAAGCCTATCGCCATTTCCAACTTTTGAAACTATTTCCTTAATCTGGCGAACGTCTGGTACATTCTAACCGAATTACATCGCTCCCATTTCTTCGGAGATTTAAAATTCCCCCGTAAGATTACTGGCGTACCTTGTAGGAGGCGCTCTTCAGATTGACCTTCCTGCCTTTGTTGGTGAGGGTGCATTTTAATCGCAGAAAGAAATTGCATGGATGTTTTTCATTGTTCTCAAGAGGCTTCACCGAGAGACATTCGCGCAGTTCCTCATGGTCACAAGGGTGGCTGTATTCGTAAACGCTCTGACCCATCATGTCCATCTGAAATTAAAGAGAACCCATGGTGCTTTCTCTATACTCTGAAAAATAGTAGACGCTAATACGGCATGAAACGGAAGAAAGACTCGTAAAATCGACCTGAGACACTCCGAGGTAGTCGCTGACGTTCTCCGACAGATAGACCATGTCCCCGTTGCTGGAGAGGACCAGCATGAATCCGTCTAGAGCCTTGAGAAAGAATTCATCCATCTCCGCAGTGGGCTCTGACTTAGCCAAAGGTTCTGGAACTGTAACGAAACAAAGAGCACAATGAATGTTAAGGTGCTTGAGACTTCCTAGCATCATGACCTCTTGATCCTTTTGCAGGACGTCACCACGTAATCTTCAGGTCAGAAGGTGCCATTAGTAAAACGAAATTCATGAATATACGTACTGGCATTGACAACGGCTCGGACCTTCAAATAAGCAATGGCCAAACGCATGATGCTGGCTTTATCAAGGTGGTTGGCCTGATCCGGCGAGACCGGAAGCTCAGCGGCCAGTTCTGTAAATATATCGGTTTCCCGGCTGCGTCGACATCGTGCAGCGTCACGGGACTTTTCCTTCCTCTTCTCGTTACTCCTGGAAAAAAAATATAAAACACTAATTAATCCATTAATCTTCGATTAACACAGCTTATCATAAAATATACATATGTAACGGCACAAATAGGAACTTTTGAAGCGGCAAGTCTGCACGTTCACGATTAAATTTTGTTGGTCTTTGTTTACTTGAAAACAGATAGAGACGTTGATACATTTGATAAGTTAGCAGATAAGTTAGCAAATAAATTGTACAGATGATATCTCCATCGGAGTAGCTGATGTGTGTTCATTATGATATGACGTAACGTCACGTTATGGCTAACTAGTCGTCTGCGAAATAAGACGGTACTGTATATGGAGTTGAGTTCGCACGTTTTTCTATTATTTTATCTACAGATTCGAGAAGAATTGTCAATAAATTACTGAGTCTAGAAGGGTCTATCATTCCAGGCATCACGAATCTCACTGTACTAAGGATAAGATTTGATAAATATTTTAAAAAATGTTAATCGCTTCAACTGCGATTCCGAGGGTCGAACGTCATTCGTTGTTTACTGAAGTATTATTTGTATTCAAGTAAGACAATATTAAAACCAATTTTTCGAATAATTTAAACTATATACATTTTCTAAGTGTGTTTTTAGCATTTGCAAGCGAATTTCGTTTCAAAGGGGCAGCGCGTACGATACCTCCAATGTTACATCCTGAGTGAATTAAAGTAAGCAATAACTTTTGCTGCTGGAATCAAAAATTATTTCCATGATTTACATATAGTGTAATAGAATATTATCTTGATTAATTATCCTTGCGCTAATTTCATAAGATCCTTGCACAATACACGTGCACAATGCTCGAAAATCATCAAGTATATTTGCATGTTGGCAGGATTCGAATATAAATCCAGGTACAAGACGAGTTCACGTTAAACGTGAAATCTCAACGTCGTTCGAACAGCAACCCGACCAAGCAATAAGCGACTTTCTAATATTTAGGGAAGAATGGTGGTGCTTTCCCCTCGCGCTCCTGAATTGAAATATGAAGTAACCAAAAACGACTGCGAGACCGCATAAAAATCCCCGTGAAGTATTAAGAAGAACCGAAGCCTCGCAAGAGGAGCCCAAGTGTCGTTTGCTGAACAAAGGTTTCGAAAGAGAATGCAGTGGTGATGGCCAAAGGTGATTAAATATTGAAGCCTATGCACCGTACTCTCAAGAGTGATCACTCATCACTCGGCCAGAGCAGGAGAAGTAAATGGAAATTAGGAAAAAAGAAATTTGAGAGCACGTGGACGGTTTTTGCAAAAGAGTCGATGATCCGTGCAGTAAGTGCAGGAGAATTCAAGGTTGCCGGGACAATAGCCGCAATAGGACAAGTGGGGGGGATTGAATTCGCAAACTGATCGCTCGACTAGGCCCGCAATTACCAGGCGACCCAGATTCTTTGGCGAATTGGCAGCCGTGCGAATGCCTTGGTCGCACGCGCTCGGCCACTCGGAAGGAGGAAGAACGCGCACGCGCATGCGCAATCAGTCTTTCATCTCGAAGACCACTTACAGGTATTCTTCGAGATGCTGCCGGTGCTCTGCTGGGGTGAGGTGGCCGAGTTCTTCGCCGTAGTAAAAAAGCATGTCGGAACTTTCGGCGGTGCAAGGAAGTGGAGCGAAGAGGTCGGCAGGCGTCGTGTAGAGGGGACAGCTGGACGCCGGGCATCGGAGCCACTGGTCGGTGTGGCAGAATCCTGGGTACACAGGACTCTCGCGATGAATCTGTTCGTATGTCGAGTGGTCCACGGCGGCCCTGGTGTAGCGCTGGTTGGGTTCGACGAACTGGAAATCTGGCGTATCGATTGCAGCCTGTTCTTGCGCAAAATATCCTTGTCCCGTATCCGGATAGCTAAAACTTTCAGGGACGTCCTGAACCGGATAGAAATCCTGACGCACGTGCCAATTTTCTTGAAAATTCTCCTGACAACACATTTCTGTATCCGGAAGCATGACGTTCCGTAGTATTGGTTCAATTTCCGACCGATAATATACTCCCTCGAAAGAGGGGGCATCGGGATTTTGATTAGGCGATCGATCGATTTCCACATCCATGGTAAAGCGCTGATTCTCCAGAATGGTTTTATCATGATTTTCATCTTTTTTCTTGCGCTCTCTGAATATCATTTTCGGCTTGACCCTAGAGTCGCGGTCTCCGTCGAAGACCCGACCCAGGTCTTCCACGTCTACGGCTCCGCAGATTTGACCAGCAGACAGGATGCGTCTGTTGCAGAGCCCCGAGACGTTATCGAAACAGGGACGCATCGGCGCACCACGTGCTCTCGGTTCCAGATATTCGGCTGAGACCGATTCTTCTGGCAAAATGGAGTCGTTGCCCTTCGGGAACTCTTCCTCCTTGTTACTCGAATTCGCAGCCACGGTCCGGTCGTAACAAATATTCATGTCTCTTGCAAGGGATTGCCGTGTGACGTTCGACGAATCGAATGTGGGAGAAAGAGAGAGAGAGAAAGAGAGGGGGGTGGGAGAGAGCGAGAAGTAGATCAGAGTTGAGCGCGTTTGCACAGTCGAAGGAAAACGAGCGAGGCACCGCCTCAGTCTTAGTAGTCAGATCCAGTGAGGCTTCTTGCCCCGACTTACGTCTACAGTGAGTTTAATTATGGTAAATAATATCAATGGTTCGCCAAAAATTGGCAATGGCGGCGCCTCCCTCTCAGGACCCTCCTCTCTCTCAGGCACTCAGTCCTCCAGCTTGAAGCGCGCTATCGCATCGACGTCGATGGCCCAAAGACACGCGACGTGTCCTTCCTTCGCTCCGAGCGCTCTGCGGGTTCCGGAAGTCAGGCTGATCTTCTTGCTCTCGGAAAACTCAACGCGCTGTCCAGCATTCGCCGATCGCCGTCGACCACTCACCCCGGCACTTGCGCGGACGGACTGCTCGATACTATTACTTCCTACAGAAGCTCTCAAGTTCGATCTGAATACGTATCGGCCTTTGCTATCATAAATTGATAACGATACCAAGCCAATGTCTCACGAGCATCCTTATTCCTATCCACGAATCTAACTTTAGATCCAATTAAAATCTGAAGAAACATTTTTATCTTGTACGGTAATATCATTTTGACAGGTTTAATTTATAAAAGTTATCTTCAGACAATTTACCTCAATAATACCAATGATTTTTACATCAATGAAAATATCAATGTAGCACGAATTGTCTGATTACGTAATCACCTTTAATTAATCGTACCGACTTGCCACTTTTCGACACAAACTTGGCGCTACGGTAGTCTCCCGTAGCAGTGCAAATTTCTTGACATGTAATTTCGTACTTTGACCTAACTTGAGATCCTTCCTGTTAAACGACTGCTCAAATTGATAATACGCGTTACGGAGTCGCCTCGTAATGATTAGGCAAATTTAATGAAAGTAGGGAGCATCACGTGTCGTCAATATTATCCCTGGCATCAAGTGTTCGGAACACTAAAAACTTGTGTCAAATATATTCGATAACACTTTATTGTGGCTCGATCAAACCTCGATCGATTGCGGATCGATTGCGGATCGATTGCAGCGAAACCCGGTAATATATCCGTGTACCGTAACTCCGCGAGTAATCCATGATTAGACGGTTATGTATGGTACGGGATTGTGTTGCACGTGTGCACGCAGCTTTAGACTCGATAATCCTAAAACGAAGAATCTAACATAGGCAATGGACGAACAAGAAAGCAAATAGGAAACAGACCGGGACAGGCTTAAGGATGAAGAGAATCGTCAGCCTGATAAATCTAGTCAACTAAGATATATATATATATATATATAGTTAGCGTATCGACGGCTGCGAATCATTCGAAGCAATTTCATTCAATCAGCCTTCATTGAGCCCCTCGTACTCCGATATAACGCAAGTCTTCGCATCCTACATTATATGCTGTAGAGAATCCAAGAATTAGGCAGCACTAATAAATGGTGAATCAAGATAGAGCAGAAACTAAAATTGTTTTGTATCCCAGAATTAAGATGTTTTTCGGAGATATTGCATAGCCAACTGTGTCATCGAACAGGCGTCTCGACGCTTCCTTTAAAAGAAGGACATGTTACGGAGCTCCGACCTAGGCCCCGATCCTCTAGCATTGGACATGACGACGATGATGCAAATAACGACAATCTCTCGAAAACAATAAAGCCACTAGCAAGCAATGTATGCAATTTCAGTCACAAGCTATGCACATGCATGGTTTAGCACTGACATTTTTTTACGATTTTAGTGTACATTTCCATGATTTTATGGATCTGTTAAAAAAAAAAGGACATTGACCTCGTCGAATATATATAGATCAGCCCTCGGATATGTAATCTACTGGTCTCGACGAGCGCGAAAAAAAAAGTTAATTATGAAATTCATAAAAAAATAAAAAACATGTGTGTCTCGTTGAGAGGTCGTAGGTCGAGCCAACGTGAAAAGTCCGAAGAAAAAGATGGAGAAAGAAACGGCGATAAGAAAATGTGCACAAGGACGAAAAAGTCCTTAATATTCTTGACGAAGTCAACACAGCTAATAAAGAAAACTACGAGTCCCAGTGCCTCCGCACCAATGTAACTATATACAATTATACATATATTCAATGTGGCCTAATTTTTGGAGATTTCGTGGAAACCCGAAAGAACGCAAGCTACTCAGCACGTACGCTAATAGCATCTCGATAATTATCTCAGTCAGTTCCACTCCTCCTCCCACTGCTTCATCCCTACTCGGGATTTCATCCTGACTTTCCATTTTGTCCCGCGACAAGTTTATTGCCCAGCAAGACGTGTCCATCTGTCCTGGGTCCAGAGTCTTGGGCTCTGCAACGGCCGCCAGGCTAATTTAGTCTCACATCCTAACCTAACCTACCATCGCGATACGCGCCACGATGTTCTCCGTAGCTCAAGACGATGGGAGATTCCAGAGGAATCCCATATCATTTTATGGGTCGCTGACCAGAGTCATTTGATTCATCCGAGAAAAGGTGGAACGTGACGAAAGCCACGCGAAACGGCACAGATCAGCGGCGCCCGTGTGAGCAGCCTCCCGGGTGCAAAGATAACAGCGATTCTCGAAAGTCGAGTGGATCGCCGGGAGAGCGCGTGACAGGCCGCCTTTTGAAGAGAAACTTGCTTTTCGTATTTCAACTTCGACCGGACGTTGTACGCAGTTACATTGATATTCGCGGTTATCATTTTTCTCCCGCTAGCGGCGCCTCTTGAGCGCCTAGGGCGATTCTTACTCGCAGTACGAGATTGTGCCGAAGCTTCGTGACGTGGAAGGCGACAAAGGACATGCGACCACGTGACCACGTGACCACGTGACCAATCTGTTTACAGCCTGTGATTTCCTCGATGGAATCTCCAGGACAGAATGAATCCTGGGGATCTACTTCCGCGGATGAGCTCCGGTTGGCCCTGCTGGCATCCTGTGGCAACGGCTGCTTCCCACGAATGTCAATTAAACGAGTGTGCCGTGACGCAGCCATAACTGTTTTACCAATTGTGAATATTGCCCAGCTTGCGCAGCGGTAAAGGAACCTTCGAGGACTGAGGATTTCGACATTATTTCCCATTTATAATAACAAAGGCAGTCCTCGGAAAGTTAAAGCGAGAATGGGGGCCAAGAAATTGGAGGCCGCGCGACGCGTCGAAATAAACGTTTTGAAGGCATCGCACACCGCGGCGTCGACTTCGATTCAGAGTTTATTGGCACAAAACGTGGAGAACGAGGCGAGAGTCGACCGCGTCGCTAAGGCGGCAACATCCTTCCCCGTTTCAATATTTCGGCCAGCAAAGAACGTAAAAGCGATCGTTAGCTCTTACGTATGGATATTAACGTCTGCTAACTAACGATGTTTTCTAGTAGCTCCGATTAGATTGTAGAAGGCCTCCTGTCCATTCCGAAATCTGAAAAGTGAGACAACACGACATAGGGAAAGCAGATAGCGTCTCGGCATGTGTCTCGCCAGTCAGCCGCTCCCGCTACTTCGTTACGCAGGCGCAGATAACGCAGATAACAGAGACTTGCGATAGTGAGGAGTCACGACGATAGGAGGAGCCGCGATCGCGCATCGTCTGCGCGTCTGCAGCTGAGCCATCGGGCGAATGGTAAACACATGGAATCTTCAAGTATTTTGGTCAAGGACGATTCATTCAGCGAAAGCGCGGAAGATTCCACGTGAACAAAGTGGCTTTTTAAATTCTTCGTGAGTCGCTCCACCGGCTCGGTACAAGCGGACGGAAATAAATGGCGAGAACGGAAAGTAGGAAGAAACATGGAGGCCAAAATGAAATAAATAAAAAAAACAACTGATAGCGTTCGGCTTATCGCATATTCGATTTGCCTATTAGCCACGTTTCCCTTGAACTATTGAAACGAGTGAGAAGGCCACCGCGCGACGCTTCCGCGAGCTTCGCGCCTATTCTGCCGCTAAAGAGAATTCCTGGGAGACTTCGAGGACAGCGGCGTGTTCGTTCCGTTCGTTCGAGTTCAAGAAACGTGAGACGCAGCCTTCCATGCAGTTCGGATGGTCCAGTGCGTTCGCTCGGGAAGCTGCAGTAGAGTGCCACTCGAATCTCCGAAGGAAGACCGCGCAACAGGTGGTTGGCTGTTTGTTCCTCACTTCCGTCGCATGATCGACCAAAGAATAATATGTCTCAAGGACACTTTTGAATAATATTTCATGAATGAAAAAGTCGAGATTGGTCCAGATCAGCGAATGGACTGCGGGCATTTGTCTTGGCGAGAAGATTTCTCTTTTTATTTCCTTCGTCCGCAACTGTTTCGATCCCCACGATCTCGTGACCGTTACTTTTTTGTCATATACTGCATAGAGGACCTGGGATATCAAAACTATCTCATGAAATGCCAGCCCCGCATCTCATCTCTCCCTTGGCTGAAGATCTGCGATAGCGTGGCGCTAAAAAGAAACGGAGGCCCAGAAGGGAACATTCCGAGTTTACGAGTTTTATTATCGCCTTTCGCGTCCGCTGGTTCAGCCATTACTCGGGCTCCTATCCCTTGCTGGCGTCATCCCCAATCTTTCCGAAGCCGTCCCTTGACTCTCTCTCTCTCTCTCTCTCTCTCTCTCTCTCTCTCTCTCTCTGCCCGTAAGGCGAGTCGCTTTAGATGCGGCTGACGTCACCAATCGTGCAATGGAAAAAGAAGAGCGTAAGCCGAGCGAGGTGGTACGAGCAGTGAATACAAATTGATAAGGAATCTGTGACTTTTGTCAAGGGAACGGCAAAGAACCAAAGGAAAGGGGTTACCGGGAGGAAGAGGGGCAAAGTTTCAACGTCAAGCAGTGAGAAGGTGACACCTGGGAACGGCCCAGGATCCGAATAATGATGTTCGAGCAGACAAAAATGGAGAACGGGAAGGACAATAACACGAAGCCTCGCGGTGCCAGCGCGCGCGGGCGTCACGT